CTGACAGGTTCTTGCGATGTTTCCTCATTGCAATATTCACCAAGGAGCTGAAGATAATGGTACGCAGTATCTCCGGAGACTCCAGACGGTTCACCTGCATATGGTGATCTTACTGACGTTCCACAGCCTGTCTGTACATGTGGAACTCGCATCTCAGAGACCAGATCCACCGCCACTGTCCGACCGTGATCGTGCTGCCCATTGTCATTAAGTTACCGAGTGAACACAGGATCAATCCGCTGTATCTCATAGGCAGAAGACGAACGCGACTACCGCCTAGGCGAGGTACTGGGGCCCTCTCGCGCGGACACAAGTTTCATGCAACCCCTGCCGATACGGTCTGGTATACCAAGACTGTGCTGTCGTAACACTTACCGACTTTACTGTCTACACTTCAACAAGCTGTCCGCCGGCCAGGCTGGCTTCAGTGCGACCGATGTAATTTCGTCTGGCATCGGACTCCGGCGTGGAGAGGACTAACACGAAACCATATTCGAATGGCGATGTTTCGTTGCGTTCGGCCGCTCAAGAACCCTACTGTCTCTTCGCCTAGACAGTCTCTTTTAGATCTAGTGACCGTGTTGTGTCCTCGCAATCGTACTCTCGGGGATCCCTGATCATTTGTGAAGATTTACATTTCTGAAGTATCGTATACCACCCTACCACATGCAGAACAGCATCAGTGCAATGAAGTCCATTCATGGAAGAAAACAGTCATTATACTCTCCGCCTATCGCGGTCACGCAGAAACCTTACATCCGGTCAAGGCTGCCGCACGTCGCCCACAAGCAGAACGTCATGCGGCGTCTTGATACCAATTCCCGTATGGATGTCTATAATGCTCTTGCCAGGCGCGAAAACGTTCGTTGTCGCAAAGAAATCAAGGCGCAGCGTGCCCCGGAAGGCGGGGTACGCGAGGCTCTCGATCGCGCCCTTGACGATGCCTGGGTAATCGGGCGAGAAAGGGTCTAGGAGACCAGGCTGTCTCGCATAACTCGTCGCCTTCCACGCGCTCGCGGGAACGTCGATAACTGCACTAATCTGCTTCTGGTTCGTGGAGAGCAAGTTTCCCGAAGACGAGAAGCTGAGGGAATACTCGACGAAGCCGTACTCAGTCCTCTCGTCCTGCCACTTGTCGCGGTAGTCGTGTTCCCACTTGATCTCCTTCTCACCGGGGAAGGAGAGCGACCAGTTCGCCTGCGAGCCACTGATCGTCATTGTGAGGGGGCTATAGTCAAATGTGGATAGAACATCTTTGTAGAAGATGCGCCAGGGACTGCCCTCTTTGGAATCGTGGTGATCCTGCAAGGAATGGATGATATAGTCCTTGTTCAGACACATCCGAACCTGGAATCCGGAGTCGGAGCCCTGTGTGATATTTGAGACGGAAGCAAAGGCCTTGGTTCCCTTCGAGTCGACAATGGATTGAAGCTCCTTTTCCAAGAATTTCTCGTAAAATAGCTTATGGCGGATGATGATGCTGGAGGAGTGGCCATAAGGAATCGGGTACGTCTCCACGGTATCATACACCGATTTGACTCTGAACACCGGGTGGGCATGTCCGTCTTGGTAACCACCCTTGGTTCTCATATACACACTGAGACAACTCGGTCCGCCATCTCCCTCGTTGGCGGTGGGTTGAGTAACGACGGTGAACGTCATTGTCACTGGGGTGAGCTGAACAGTATCCTGCATCTGTGCAGGAGTGACCACAGCCAAAGCGTACTTGACGGCACTCAGATTGGAGTGTAAATAGTCCACGATCTTATCCTTCACTCCCTTATCCTTGAAATTGGTTGCGGGCTCAGTGCCCGAACCGTCCCAATCGATTGTGCAGATGGCATCGTCCCAGCCTTTGACCGCGAACTTGAAAACGATGTGCAATTTTGCTTTGGGATCGTTGTCAAAACCGAGTACGACACCTTTGTCCTGAGGCGATTGATAACGACGAATTAGTATGATAGCAAGCTTTCTGGAAATGAAACGTACCGCTTCCTTCGTTATCTTGCCCTCTTCACTTGCTTTGACAGCCAGGAGAGGCGTCGTGAGATGAAGGCTGTAACCCGCCGGAACATCATCTCCTGGTTTTGTTTTACCATTCTTGCGCTTGACGCTCGATCCACTAATAGGCATGACCAGAGTCGCATTCCCCTTCTGTGTGAACTGCAAGGAAGGCGATTCTAGCTTGACTGTCCAATCGATGTAGTACGTATCGTCGTCGTCCCAGCCGGGGACCTCGGTTGTAAAGACGAAGCTCTGTGAGAACTTGGGGTCATTCTTCCAGAGCGTCTTGAGAAGCGCGTCGAGCTTGTCAAGGGAATAGCTGACGACAACATCCCAACCGTCCGTAGATTCGTAACTGTTCATGCCACTGACGAGCTCGTCCAGTGTCGGATAGCTGCCTAGACCGACCATGGACGTCTGAGTTATATCGATGGGAGGCGGGCGAGGTATCATTGTCGGAAAATGAGTATTGCATTGGCCCTTTTATGTTTGAATTTATGTTGACCGCATAATCTAATACCTGAAATCTCGTCGGGATTGAGAGGGCACTGATCTAGATGATAGACGCTCAACGAGTCACCAGATAGAGCTGCGCAATCGCTTCCGGTTCTCGAAGCTATGATATATGAACGGAGCTGTCTCCCTCCGTGACATTGATGCGTGAATAGACGCTGGTGGATATTTATCATCATCGATATGTCGAAATTCGGGCGACTACACGGGAACTTCGTGGCAGTATGTGAGACGTTATTGTGTCCTCGCGGGAAATGAGGAGGCTAGTGTCCTGGTGCTGAGTCGAAGTCGATGCTTCCTCCCCTTCACAATGCGTGGGTTTTCAGTCGGAAGAATGATCACACCGAGCTTCGTATTGTCACCTGAAGACGTCTGTGCTGCGTGCTGTCAGCCATTCACCAGACACTCTGCATCCTGCTCACCGCGAAGCTATGTCCACTGCAAAGACTGCCGCGTCTGCCAAAACGGCGACCCAATACATCTCCGATCTCGTTAAGTCCAGGCCTATCCTCGCGGACACGATCGACGCCATCTGCAGCACTGACGACGCCGACATCGATCGCATCATTAGCGACAGTGGCTACAACCTCACTTACGACGGCTTTTACGACGCTGTCGTTGCAAAGCAGTCGGGACCCGGATTCGACCTTGGCATGTGCGGCGGGCTTTACGAGTTTACGAAGCCAGAGGACATGAAGTCCCGACACTTGATGGTCAACCCGGCCAACTCGAATATATATATCGACGGTGACGCTACAGGGAATAGAACGGACCAGGATGGGCAAGTATCCTGGAGTTATAAGGGATTCAAATATGCCGTCACCTTCGACATCGGCTATGATGACTCGGGCTCTCCCAGACCTCACACATTCGCAGGCACCCGCGCCAGTGGGGACAGAACCGAGTCTGTTTCTGGACGCCAGATTGTCCCATCCCCAGATGAATTCGTTCTTAACCACCCAATAGCCCTCACGATCGGATTTATTGCGACGGTATCCGGTGTTACGGTTACAACGATCGTTGCCTGCCTCTGGAACAGGATCAAAGGCAGGCTGCCTTGGCGTAGGGACGAGGTGATGAGGGGAAGAGAATGGGCTGTCCGCTTTCTGCGCAACCAGAGGGACACCTTCGACCCCGCCGATGTCCACTACGACAGGATGCAGGTCGAGGTCGAGCAGGCAATCAATCGCGCAGTGAACAAGTATTTGGTTCAGAAGGACATTGATTCATCTCAACTGACGGATCAGCAGATGGAGGAGATACGAAAGGAGGCCTCGGTAGACGGAACAAATAAGCTGGAGGAGCTGGCTAAGGCAATGGTGCGAGCCGAATGCAAGCACAAGTTTGGCCCGTACGCGGAATACGTGCATGACGAGGATGCCGTAGCATTGATCACAAGAGAGAGCGCGAGAAGGAGTTACAAAGATCGAGTTGGAGGGCTCGACCGCAAGGCGGACTACTTGCAAGCTCGAGTTGATTTCGCGATAAATACGGCTGCGGAGCAGAAGGCGCGAGAGAATGCCAGCGCTTATAAAAACGCCGCAAACACTCACGAGCAGGAGGCTGCAGAGTATAGGAAAGAAGAAAGTACCAAAAAGACGGCGAAGGAGACGGAAGAGCAGCACCTCAGGGAAAGGGGAAAGACAGAAGCGGAGATACGGGATGACCCTTACGTGCAGCGGCTCTCGCGAGAGATAAAAAAACACGAGGAAGATGCAAGGAACAAGGACCAGGATGCTGAGACTGCGAGAAAGCAGGCGGAGACCAGGGACAGTGACGCTGAGGAAGCCAAAAAGAAGGCACGCGAGGCCAAGGAAAAGGCAGATGGGAAAGCAGGGGAGATTTTTGGAAAGAAGTGAGAGGCGAGGATAAGCTATGTGGGCATTTAGGAATGGAGTTATGGAGAAAGACATGGTACAATATCAGATGCGAAAGTAGATGTGTGAGCCACATACCTGCACCCCGCGCTGAGTGTAACTTAGAGGTATCCGGAAGGAGCTAGGCTGTACAATCTTAAGCCTATAGTTTGCAGTACTTGGCTGCCCAGTATCAGTCGATGATTCGACCATTGATTGAAGCTGGTCTGCGCAAAAGGTTCTATAGATCAGAGCTTGTCGTTCATATTTGCAGCGAGACCCCAGATGATGGACACCAGTTGGTGTATTCTCCAGGGAAGCGAATAGCTACGTCCAGTCTGCGTAGAGTATTGCATGGTTAGTAGGCCGGACGATGAAGGACTTTACTACGAGGCCGCCTTGCGTGTGCCGAGCAGTAAGTACCGTGAGAACTGCATGCCGAGAATTCGTGAGAGTCTGTTTCAAGTTGGAGTTTGGATTAATGATCAATCGATCATAGACTTTCTGACAATCAGCTGGACATGAAATACTCATGCGTCTCATAACCTCCAGTGAGTAGGGGGTTAGGTTTTGCTGTCCTCCTTAGCGAGTTAACTGATATATACTCACAAAGACACTTGTTGAGAAGCGTGAATGGTGTAATGGTAACATTGGGTCTTCCCACTATTCCCAGATGTAATAGTCTGGTCTTCAAGTGTTTGGCCTAGCCCCGGGTTCGATTCCCGGCTTACGCAAATAAATATACATTTTGGTTTACTAAAATTTTATCGCTCTTCGTTCAAGAAGCCACTTGGGAAAGAAAGAACCCCAAGGAATGCAGGAAAGATTAATTGCCGTTCAATGGACAACCGTGAGAACTCGCGAGACCCGCCATGATGATGGTTCTCCCCGCACCTACGCCACTTATCTACTCCGTTACCTCGACGATATCATGACTCTATCATTTGTGAAGAAAGGTTTGAGATGGTATGATAAGATCCTCGGTCCGGTTATATGGGAGTTTCACAAGGTTTGACGTCGGCTTAGGACATACACCGTTCTCTCACTTTGATGGAACACGGGTCGACATTCATCGATTTCATCTGTATGTGAAAGGTATAAATCACTCATGCATGTGACCTTGAGGCTCAGTCCAAAGCAAGCGCTCTAATGTCATGATTCCACGTCGGAGATCTCAACATAGCATCTCGTAGTAAGACATATAACAAGTTGCATCCGTGCAGACATCTTCCAAGTTGAAGCAGCTTGGGCTTTCCGCTCAGTGCCGACATCCAGGTAAGCTTATTCTATTCTATTTGACCTGCTCTGGACCGTGTCCCAGACAATCGGCCAAAAATCATCCTCTGAACCCTTTGATTCGCAGACGAAATAGTCGGTTGCTGTAGCGCAGTGCTCCCCGCTGCGAACATAACGCGATCCTAGACGATGGCTGTCACCATCGGTGCTGGGAATAAGCGCGTCATACTTGTTTCCGAAGACTATATTCTTGAGCCGACATATCCCGAACGGGAGACATGGATCTACACCAACGCGTCCATTCTCCCCACTCGAAACATTCGTACCAGGGATCTCCACCTTCATACCGCCTCATTCTCCGTACTGTACGATTCTGCCTATTTCGACGCTTCCGGTGACCTCGGGAAGGATCTCTCAGGGCCTCAAGAGAGACCTAGTGATGCGAATGGCGGGAATGGCTATAACGTATGCTTCTCTTCGGCAAATGTCGCCGCAGGCCGTGTTTTCGGCGTTCATGCCCAGGGCGGCGACGGTGGCGCTGGGTACTCTGGCATAGCGGCGGGTCAGAAGGGTGGAGATGGTGGGAACGGCGGGGACGGAGGAATTATCTTCTTCATCTATAACGACATATATCGCGTCGCTTTTGAAGCTTGCAGGACCTACCACTACGAGACAGACGATAAGAAGAAACAGAAAGAACTTCAAGAATGGATCGACTTTTGCCAGCAGACCATTACCCACCCACAATGGCTTGTGGATAATATCCGGAGGTTTGCGGATACATACGCTAACATGTCCCTAGACGACCAATCGGATGGAGTAGACGATCTCTTGGAGTCAATCGACTCCGCCAGTTCTGGTTTCGCGTCGAAAATCTCGAGCAAGACAAGCTATCATGGAGGCTTTTACGGCGTAGGAGGTCAGGGAACGCCAACAGATGGCAAGAATGGTGCCAGCGGTCAGATGGGCCAATACAAAGCTATGAGGACGATGAGAGTGGTCGACGTCCGAGCTTGCAGCGAGATGCTCTTCCACCCGGATCAAGTTGCCATGACGCTGAGAGATGCGTTGGACAACTATTTTCTCGGATCTGACGAATCAGTACTCCACTGTGGTCGCTCCTTGCGCATCCTGATCGACAGGCTTTCCTTTCTGTCCGATCTCAAATCGAGTGACCCTCTTTACCGAGCTTATGCTCAGTATGAAACCGATTTGTTTATCCTTCCCTCCGGCGGCGCGGACCCTACTTCTGTCACGTCGCTCAAAAACAGCCTTCAGCGGGCGAAAGCTTACATGTCTCAGCTTGGGAAAGGGTTTGACTTCTACGGACACGACCCTACGTGGGTACCGAGAGGTTCCTACGACTTTTACAAGACACAGCTCAAAGACGTACTGGATGGCGTCACCGGTATAGAAGACAACTACTGGGACTACGTGAACAGTGTAAAGGACCAGATCAAAAGGCGGGCAACTATTCGACAGAGCCAGGTCACTGCAAAGATCGTCATCGACCGCGCCAAATCCGATATAAGAAGGCTCGAGGACTCACTGTCAATCACTGCCAAATTGATCGCCTCCTTCTCTCCCCTTATTCCTGAGAAGCGGAAGGCGTTGCTCAGCGAGATCGAGAAGCTCTCATATGACATTCAGCACCATTTCGCCGTATCTTTCTCAAACTTCATCGACGCGGCCGCCCAGTTCGCTTTTTCTCCCGGTTTGCCCATGGGCACGGTGCAGGCGGGTCGTCTTATATTCGACGCCAAAACCACCATCCCAGATGGGTACGGAGGGAAAATAGACAAAGATTATCTTATTAATCAGGTGCGTATTTGTCAATATATAACTTACTGTCTTCCCTCACCAGTCTTATGGTCAGGTGGAAGGCATTACAGCGGACACGGAAGGTCTCGAGGAAGGCCTGAAGATGGGCTCGGGCAGTCCAACCTTGACCATCGATGATCCTGGTGCAGCGAAACTGATTGCAGAGGAGAAGAAATTGGTGGCTCTCATTAATCAGTACGGCTACCTATTGAAGGATTTGAAGAGCATTCGAGCCAAATTTGATGACTACATCAAGATGGTTCTCGACCGTAACAATGCTGTCATTCACTATAATGCAATGGTCACGTTATGGGCCGAGACGGAGACAACTATCAATCAACAAGAGCAGAAGTTGGACGTTCTGAACCACTCAGCGCTGGATGACATTGACCCTAGTCTACCTGTGCTCGCCGCCTTCGTGCGGGAATCCTACTTTCACACTGTCGCCCAAGCCCTGCGACTACTGTACGTCACTGAACGGGCCCTCGCATTTTGGACTCTCCAACCTCCAGTTTCAAACCTCGCTACGCTCCGAGCAAATGGCTTTGAGCGGAAGGGCCTATCGCAAGCTCTGCAATCTGCTAGGACCGATATCCTAGTTGCTTACGATGATGTAGTAGAGAACTCCACAAACAAGTCTCAAAAATTCAGTAACATTCGGCTGGATCTTGATGCCGACGACCTTTCCGTTCTGAAGGATGGATCTTCCGTCATACTCCGCATCCCGGAGGCTTATTCATTCACGCTCCGTGATGACAGCCCGTTCGCCGATTGTTCTGATGTCCGGCTCACCACGGTGAGGTTCTACGTCAAGGGGGCAACTACAAATGATAGTATGTTGTCCGTCTCCTTGGCTCATTTGGGAGCCGAAACCATCGTTGACGTCGACGACCTTCCACATAACTTCACACACAACCAGATCCAATTCAAGTTCCAGTACAACTACGTGTCGAACGCGATCCAGACAGATGGTGACATTGGCGATCTGGTCAATGGTGAATATGCGCTGCCAGGCCCCTTCGCGTACTGGAGCGTTGCCGTCAATGACAGCTACAATAAGTCTCTGGATCTCTCAGACGTGACCTGTGCGTGGTTCGAGTTTTCAGGATGGAGTAGACCGTTCGGGTAATTGATATTCTGTGGGGAACCTGCTCGTGTATCATAGCATATTGAATGATTTTGGTCTTATATCGCTTTTGCCAGATATGACGAAGAGTGGAAGCCGGCATGCATGGAGCATGACATTTGGGAACCGCTACTTCCAAGTCCTATCCTAGTGCCGTTGCGCCAGGCCGGAGCACCCTCTAGGCAATTTCCCTTAGTACTTGTGAAGTTTATCACTGCATGGTGTACTTACCGCATCATGCTTGCCACGATTTATCTTATAATAGCGTGGTTGCCAGTGGTCACCACCCTACAACAACAATGCTGGCGTGTACTACGCATCATGATACGGATAAAAGCTGAGTCGGCCACTACAGTTATATACGAACTACACCATATGGTGGGCCTAAAAAACTCTGTCTGCAGGGCCTGTGGCTGTCGGTCCGATGTGCACCACAAGTCGATCTTCTTAAGTTGGTATGACTGGTACTCCCGAGGTTTCTCTGGAGACCCATGACTTGGAAGCTTGCAGGGCAACGTCTCTCTGTGTTGATGTTCGTAGCAGTGCCAAATTCAATGAGCGAGGAGAGAAGCTCGCAAGAGGGCCTAACGCATCGTTAGGCCACCACCAAGTTCTATTTATAGCCCCTATTGAACCCGCGGCCGCCGGTCACCGTCAACGAGGATTCGGCGAGGATCTGCACTGTATACGTTACTTGCTAATATGCGCCTTACAAAAGCCTCGCAATGAACACCGCCGCAGCCAGAAGATCGTCGCCTCGCTCTGAGCTCATTGCTCAAGATGATCATTGATCCCCGAAACATTGTATGCGGTGAACGGGAATTAGTCGCCAAAGCTCAGTGAAATTGACCACGCTCCGAAGCGTTACAGGCCGCTGTGATACGGAGCTTGGACTCAAGACCACCCGCAAGATGGATTGACACATCTCACTGGTTACCTTTTGAGGTCAAAGTTCGACCTGCTTAGGTTGGATGGCTGAGGACTCGAGATGTGGATTGACTCCCGGATGTTTTTGTGTAAAGGTCCTCAACGATACCTCAAATCGACCACCAAGGTTTTACGGCGGCCACTGTAAGCCCTGCTGCAAACCAAGAGCAAGTTGCTGGCGTAACATTGAGTAAGGGCTGGGTTAACAACACGACTCAAGTGTACACTGATCAGCCGTCCACGAGAGTCTACTGATCTTTGACTCCACAGAATAGTTGTCTTGAATTCAGCATGTCTCTGCCTGAAGTTGCACGGGAGCAAGGCTTATCTTCGGGTCGCCCGCAGCATCATTCAATGCATCCACAACTAACCCCCCTCCTGCTATTCGGTTGCATAGGAATACATCAGGCTTATGCACACAAGCTGAAACTTGATCTACTTCATATTCCCTTGGCAGATGACGGCTCCGTAGAGGAAGTTCGATAATTTGGCCACAGCTGACATGTGAGTCGCAATCATGGTTCTCAAATTCTGCTATCAGAATAACATTTATGTATCGCTGCCCTGTATTAATGAACCCATCTACCGCTGGACTGGCGATCGCGGTTTCTCGCCATGCCGATC